TGACCATGGTGCTTTCATTAGTCTTCATAAACAGGTGTATATGATCAATTTTTTTCTAGTACCTCTTTCATACATACATATAGCAGCAAAATGTTATTGAAAGATTGAACTTTCTCTCTGATGACAACTCATAAGATATAATGTACAAGTTATGGGCCGTCTTTATCGAAGTGTGAGAAATATTTGTATTGAACTTTATTACCAAACTTACCTGCAGCAGCAAGAATCATGAAATGCCCTTCAAAAAAGAACAAAAAACAGTACGATCTTGAATTCTTGTTTTAAATAATTGCAAATGAATGATTAATTTGTTAACCTTTACACTTTGTAGTGTACATGTGTACTATGTCAGTTGAGATCATCTGTCTCTTCAAGTTCTAAACTATTGTTTGGACCGAACAAAAAAAGCATTGATACTGTGACACCCAACAGTACATACATTTTGGTAATGAGAAGTGCAGATTTGGTGTTTAGTATAACTAGACAAACGTCATTTTTGTTTTATTTTGTACTGTATTATGTGCCAAAGTATATTCAATGTTTCATAAATTTGATGGAGGGTGATAGAAAACCCTAATGTTATTAGTTGATTTATCATATCATTAATTTGCAGGTATTCAACAACAAAATGTCTATAATATTCTTTATTTAAAATAGGAAATTCTCACTCTGAATTGACTACCATCATATATTTGATAATTAGATGTTTAGTAAGATACGGTAGGTGATGTATCATACAAGAGTTTTATTCCAAATAATTCCCTCCAGTCAAAGTGTGCCTAGTCAATCATAGAATTGTGTAAGTTGATGAATTATATAGCATATGAAATGTCATTTATCATGTTGATTTTGATTTATTGGAACTTTTGGTTAGAGCAAGTGGGAAAAAAAAATCTATGGCATTAATAAAGTCCCATGAAATTGGTCATAGTATGCATTGATTATTGCACAAAATTTATGTTTCTTTGATGTGTTCGTGTGTGGCAATATTCAGCCTTGATGAATTGTATATTGATATCAAATGGATCATATTGAGATTTGTAATGAACATTAGAATCTTCAGGGAGAGGAGTTGTCACATCCAGATTAACTCTTTGTATACAGGGTTTCCAGTTATTGTGGAAAGCAGGAAAAGGAGTTCTCCTTTTTCAAATTGCGCAAAAACTCTGGGTATTTGAAGAAAATCACTGGAATCCAAGAAAAGTCAGGGAATTTCATTAAAACTCAAAGAAAGTCATCAGTCCGTTATTGCGTTATACATGTAATTTTGGTCTCATGTTCTAACAGCATATCCACTGGATGTATGCAACAAATGTTCATTACAGTTTTTTTTTCAAATTAGAAATTAATTTATTTACGGTAATGATCCTGAAAATTCAGAGAAAATCAATGGAAAATCAGGGTCATCTCCATGAAATGCTGGAAAGTCTGTTAAAATATTATTTTCATCATGTATTTAATCTCAAATCCTCAGGCACAATATGATATGCAGTCAAACTGCATATTCCAAACTGCTGTATAACTGAACTATCATTTATTCAATGTGGAAAAAGGAATAGTTTTTGTAACATTAGTGTAAAATTATCAATTATTCTGTTAAAAATTTAAATTAAAATTTAAATGGAGGGGGGAGGGGCAAATAAAAACCATGTATGTCATGCTAAATCCTCTTGGTGCTGAGTTAATGTACAGATGAATGGAAATAAATGTGCTATGACTATGAGGGATAATATAAAGGAAATTATGATATGAATATTTGTTTAGATGTTTTATTATTAATTTGTAAATCAATGTACTAAACGTAATGTAAAATAATGTGAAAACAAATAAATTGTGATATGAATATTACTTTGATGTTTTGTAATGAATTCGCTTGTGAATTGATTTTCATGATTAATGTACCAGAAGGTGTTTACATGCTGCTTAATATTAAATGACAAATCAAGTTTTACAGATGCAATATCAGTACATGTGTGAACTACACTGGACTTATCTCGAGGGAAATACACAAATAATTTCAAACATTTTTTCAAATTATTATGTATTTTTTGATCAATATGATTTTCTATGAGACTTGTACGATTTCTGAGACATAATTGTTAGTATCAGCATGAAAACATTCTAACTGAGGTAAGCAAGTAAAGTTCATCTCCTGAGATTATTACCTAATACTTTTGATACAAGTATTATATATAAATGAATTATTTTACATGTCTGAAAGGAATAAATCTGAATAATCAAATGAGAATATTGAATGATTGTTGTGTTTTAAGTTGCAAAGTGATAATAATAATGATATTTATTACTTATATAGTGCATCCAAAATATTTTTAAATATCTATAGATGAACTTCTAAAGAGGTCTGGATTATTACCCCAGCTCTAGACTAGCTGCCCTGGTGAAGGTGCTACAGCATTAAATGAATTAATTTCTACCAGTACCCATTACCTTCACATAGCCCCCTCCCCCCCCCCCAAAAAAAAAAAAAATAATAATAATAATAATAATAACAGTAATAATAATAATAATAATCATAATCATAATAATTTCAAATAAATATAATAACTATAGATAAAAGTTTAATACAAGATTAAATTTAATGAATAAATAAATAAATAACTTTATTTAAAAAAACAAGAAAAAGAAGAAAAGAAACATTATATATGTGGGAATTTTTAATTTAATTATATACATGCCAAACGAGAGGATATAGAACACTGCAAAATATGTCCCTTTTTCACCATCAAAATTCAGAAAAAGTTGGGAAAATTGAGGGGTCATACAATGAATAATAGTATTGAATGGCTTTTCTTTTGTGAGATACAATGGTACATTGCACTCACCTTGAGGATATTTCATTAGTCATGCCAACACGTTAAATATGCTCATCATCTTATGGGATATATATACCTCTGTATCCCTCTCAACTCTAGGCCATTCAATATTATATAATAAACCCCCAAATTATCTTACATCCCAATCTGAGTGAATTGTATATACCATGCATCTATCTTCATCCAAAACAAATGGATGAGAGAAAATAAGGATGCATATATACAAGAAATATCTAAAGGCCCATTTATTTTGTTACAGGGAATGGATTCCTACCTGTATTTTTTGCTCAACTAATTTTTAAATTTTGTTTTGTTTTTAATTATAGCAGCCCTTATACTTCACTGTTGCCCATGAAGTTGTAATATATATATTCTTTATCTCTTTTCATGACATGATTGTGACAGTATGAATAATTCTTGATAAACAAAGTTTCTTTCTTCCCAGAATTTTATTGATCGATCTCTATGACTCTTGTATATTGATCAAGAAAGTTCTTAGAAGATATAAACTTTAACTATCAAGAATAAATCATACTGTCACAATCATTTCAGGGAAAGAGGTAAAGTAAATTTATTCCAACTTTAATGGGCAATTGTGGAGCAAAGTGTCAAACACTAACTGCAAGGAAGTAAGAGGTCAATACCAAAATTGGCTTCCTGCAGCTTAGACATTAAAGTCTGTGATCCATATACATATGTAATATGTTTGATTTGATCACATATTACCCGATTCAAAAACTGACCAAAAAGTAAACCCTAAAGGTCAATTACAGGGCTTGTTTAAATTCATGCTGACCCAGTTATAACATACGGTATTGACAAGACTGTATTAACATAAACCAAGGAGAACTTCTTGCATGTGTCTGAAAGTCTATCCCTGGCCTACATAAAGGTCAAAGCCTCAGACTGGGGTCGCGCTCTTGCTTGATCTGTCCCTATTATCTTGAGGGCAAAGTATAAGAAAAGCAAATTTGTTTTTCGTCTCAGATGTGAGCCAGTGACATTGTGAAATGCTATACTAGTATCCTGTCAACAAACTACAGTACATGTATATGGCATCCGGCCAACAGTGCTTATTTACTCAAATCAGTTTGTTTTGCCTAGTACCTAGTCCTTTTGGTGATGATATAGTACCGGTAGCTGAAAATGCTTCTGCAGTGTGTTAAGAACAGTCCGTTGATACAGTTGAGAAGTGTTAGATTCGTTTCTGGTCGCCATATCTGCATTAGCAATATGCCAGCCATGTTGAAGCCAGGCCTACGCTGTCCAACCCTGGGCAGCGGACGTCTTCAGAGTCAGCTAGCAATGTTGTTCAGCATCCGTTCTTACATGGTGGGTGTCAACAGGCAAAGGAATATCACCGAGTTAAACCCTATGATGAGAGGGTAACTATATGTTTCTTCATTTCTATATACCGAAAGGGCCTCATTCTTCTAATAATTATTTCAGTCCCATATGTCCCATATTATTATTATCATCATTATCATTGTCATCATCATCATCATATATTTTTATTATTATTGATTAATCATTATTATCATTAACTTTTTCTCAAACTCTGGTTAAGAAATTTGTTAGCTCTAGAAATGTATACTTGTATTGTCATTTCTATCAATTTATTCATGTGCAATTCAGTTTCTTGTTACTGTGATATCTCTTGAAATGTATACTTTTTTTTCCATCAACGTTTTATTCAGTTACTTGTAACTGCGATACATGGAAATGAAGCAATAAATACCATTTATTTATTTATCTATCTAGCTAGCTAGCTGTGTTACCAGTAAGCATTATTTTCCCAAATTTTGTTTTATACTATATCTAATGATTTTCTCTTTGAATCTATATGTTTGCAGATCTCAGACCTCTTCCAAGCCATCAAGCCAATACCACGCCCCTCTCAGCTATCACACATCAAGGTCTTTAGCCTCCCAAACATCACCAACATACCAAAAGAGGTTCCAAGATCAGAGATACGTTCATTCTATGTTCGGTAGCCAATCATTTCTTTCCAATGCTTCTTCAATTTCTTCTTCTTCCATTTTATCATCTCCATCATTATCCTCTTCCTCTTCCTCATCAACATCACGTTTCTTTTCTACCACCTCATCATCATCATTATCATCATCAGGAGCAAGAGGGGCACTAGATGGTACCCCGAAGTACACCATGAGCTATGTTCAGGGGAGCTTAGAACCACCCCTCATGGGCAAGACTCTGGGCCAATGCATGGATGACATGGCAGAAAAGAAACCTGACCATGATGCTTTCGTCTTTGTGGAGGAAGGAGTTCGTTGGACCTTTAGCCAGTTCAGAGAACAGGTTCGTAAAAGATTCTTTAATTCTGTCAATACCAAAGGTATGTATACCGGTATATATTTATAAATGTACTTATAAGCCTTCAGGTATGACAGGCTGAGGTTTATTTAAATATGTAACAGCATTGACAAGTAGAAACAAGAATTATATTATCACAAAGCTACTTGGTAAGAAGTATATGATTAAGTTTTACAATTAGAGGAAAGCTTTAAGAGTAATTAAGATGACTAATCATATGTCAATATATAGTATGAATAAAGAAAAATGAGCACTCTTACAGTATTTTTGGATCGCAGGAATTAAGATAACATACAGTTACAAATGTTGTACATGAGTATATGTTCTTTTCAAACCAATTATCTTTTGTATTTTCATGGGAATTCCCAATTAAAAAATCTCTCAATTGATTATTCAAATAGGCTTGTCTGTTTAATCGCAATAAACTGTTTAACCATAAAGTACAAGTTTTAGAGTAGCAAAATCCAAAACATGCACCCATAAAAAGAAACTGCAGGATGCCAGCATTAGTAATAGACTATTTCAAATCTTTGATAAAGAAATGTCTTATGAAAATAGTATCCTACTTAAAATTGTTTACACATGCACTTGACAAAAAAAGACGGTACAGAGTTTACTCAGAAGACAAAAATATATCATTGCATTACTTTGCTTCCTTAAGTAAATAATATCTTCTAAAAATACCACACACAAGAGGGAAAGATACACATTTCATATCTTACTTAGTTATGTTGTTTTACACACAATGACAAAATAGACCATTTCAGGTCATTGAAAATTTAAATGTCTTATCAAATTACAAAGCATATGCTGCCATAAATCATTTATGCAAAGGAGATACGAAACAAAACCTTTGAAAACTGATAAAGTATTATCTTTTCAAAATACAGAACATGCTACCATAGTTTACTCGAAAGACAAAAATATCCCATTTTATGTCTTTCCTTCCTTGAGTAAATAATATCTGACCAAAATACAAGAATGCTACCATAAATAGCACATCGGGTACTTGTGCAGTGCAGTAGATTATGTTTTATGGTTTCTGCACTTTATGAATTTATATAATTTCATCATCATTATTAGTCTACAATTAAACAAAGAAATCAAATCTGTGAAATTTGTATTACATTTACATTATTCTCCATGTACTTGCCATCCAACCAATTAGCTTTCTTGTACCAATGTTGTATTCCGTGCACTCTGTACAATTTTACTGTTTAATCATTGTATTGCTTGAGTCGACTGCATTCAAACATACATGGTTATGTAACAGAACTTCATTATTTTCCCTTTAACAGTTTGACGAATGAAAAAGAATATGATGATCATAATAAACCTGTAAACTTAAAACAATACCAATCAAAAAGACACTACCGGTACCTGATTTTTTTATCAATACTTAATGCAATATGCCTTCTAGCAATTAGAATTAAGTTTATCAAAGTAAATTCATCTGGCAGTGTAGGATCACCACAAAATATGTACTCTCAAAATTCCAATTTCGCTGCTTCAACTCAGTACACTATTATCTTCTCATGATGAGAACTCTGTTCATTTATCTATTTTGAAATGCTAGAACGCCGCAATGGCAGCACAGCTAAAGCCAGGGTAATAATCTCCAAGTTTGGAAGCGCTTAGTGATTCTAATAAGAGCTATATAAAAACTAAGTATTATTATTATTATTATTATTATTACATATAATCTTTCTATGAATGTATTTTGTAATCTTTATATTCAAGATGAATCAGGTAGTAAGCTGTAATATTGAATATCTGGATATTGTTGAATAAAACTCTTATCAAATCAAATCAAATCAAATCAATGAGATGAGACAAAATTAATGTGATTGAATAGAATTGATTAAATTAATTTCAATCAAATCCAATCAAACGCACTTCATTTCAGGTTGACCGTTTGGCCGCTGGATTCTTGGCCATTGGTCTGAAGAAAGGAGACCGGATAGGGATATGGGATTCCAACACCTCAGAGTGGGTTCTGACTCAGTTTGCTGCTGCTAGGATTGGGGCTATTCTGGTCACCATCAACCTAGCCTATAGACCCAATGAGCTGTACTACACTTTACAAAAGGTGAGTTTTATGTGAGGGCCGACTTCCCAATTGACGACCCTTCAAATAATAGCCTTTATTACAATTTGACAACAATTTTGGTGGTGAAGTCTGAACACTTTGGGGATTGTTATCAGTACATTATACATGGATATACTCAAAACTTATCGTTATTATGGGTGAAGGTCTGACCAGAGCCGGTATTCATTTCAAGGATTGTGTTGGAAATATGAGTATTTTACTTAGTGTTCGGCTTACATAAAATGCTTAGCCAACTTTGGTATTCAGTTCAAGCTTTTGGCTAAGTATTCAGTTTACCCTAAATTTAAGACAGCTACCTAGCAGACTGAAGCCAATTATTTTGGATGCCAATTGGTAGGCATGGTTTCCATATGCAGTCATAATCTGGGCACTGTAGTATTAGCACGCATATAATGCGATGTGTTTATTTCACATGTGACATCACAATGCATAATTATCAGTACAAGGTAAGTCATTTACCTTAAAGTCTGCTTAAAAGTAAAATGCTAAGATGTAATCTAAAAATGAGTTAATTAAGACATAACCAATTAAAATGCAGAGTAAAATACTGGCTTAATCCACACACTGAATTGAAATAGGGCCCAGGCCTTTTTTAATATGAGCCCTGTGATGTAACATTGATGGGATGGCAGCGGTGGGATACAAACCCATTGGTGTTTAATACCATAGACAAGATTTAACTGTGTGAACCATATGCTTTATCAACTATACCTCCTAGGCTGGTGTGAAGGCAATAGTCTCGGCTCAGAACTTCAAGACCCAGAATTATTATGAGATGCTTTCCACTGTGTGTCCTGAACTGGCAACCTCAGCCCCAGGCAGACTAAGAAGTGAAAAGTATTGTAAAAGCAATTTGTACTCCATGTATCACAATTTAGTTTGTTTTTATTTCATTATAAAGATAAAAGCAGTTGCCAAAGGTTTAGTGACAACAAAAACTTACTATCATGTAATGGAAATAAAAAGTGCTTTCTATCAACATAAAAATTCAGTCACATATTACTTTGTCAAGCTCCTAGCTACGAAGAATTATACGAAGAATGAAATCAGATGAGATGGTGTTTTTTAGGGGCAGTAAGGCCTTGTATCAGATTTAATAATTCTTTTGATTAAGATATTTATTACAAAGGTTTAATACTTCATAATGATTGATTCAAATATAGTTTTTTTTTGTAATATGTGTAGGTCCAAATTATATTTATTTTCAGTATAATTCAATCAATTCTTTATTCTGTTATCCAATTCTTTTTTATGATATTTTTATCATCTTAAAAAACAGATTACCAATGCTAGAATCTATCATCATGCTGGGAAAAGGGGATTTCCCTGGTGCCCATATGTTTGATGATGTCATTGACATGGGAAACATTGAGCACAAGCTCATGGTTGAGGGCTATGCAAAGACGGTGCAGTTTGATGATCCAGTCGCCATTATGTTCACCTCTGTAAGTATACTAGATTTAGGATTTTTAATGATTTTCAGTTTTACTAACTAGAATATTCAACTGTATAGCATGTTTGCTAGTAATAAGCATGAAAATTAGTAATAATAAAGGTAAAAGTTTGATGGAGATTGGACAAATAATAAGAGGATTCTGAGGAGAGGACTAGAATAATTTGATACAGTATGTATTTGAATGTACAACAAACAGGAGAGTTGTACCCAATCTCATTTGAATTACCAACTTACCAAAGTAGATGTGTCATAGGGTAATAATATCTATTAAGCAGTTAAAGACAGTATGTTGTATTAAAGCGCTATATCTCATCCAGATTATGATCATTATTATTATTTCAATGGATATTCATGTACATTCAGTAATCTCAAATGTCGAAGCACAGATACATGTACATTGCTTTTATTTGTTCAACTTTGTTCAAGCTTTCACTTACCATATATCCTCTGATATTAAAGTGAGAAAGGTTGGAATGTCATTTCAAGTCAGATTCAAATTCTACTTTCTTTAAAAATGGAATCGGTCTGTATGGAATTTATCATTTTCAAAAACATAATGGAAGTGTATTTCTTACTATTGTGACGAATTGCCTTTGTTTTTCAGATATATCAAAATCAAAAGTTTATCAATACCATCTGTGTCATTCACTGAACCAATTTAAAAATTTAAAAAATTTAAGCCAACAATATGGCAATATGTAATTATAATTAGTAATTAAATCTAACCTTTTTTCTTACAGGGTACCACTGGAAATCCAAAGGAGCGACTATGACTCACCACAGAATTGTTAACAATGGCTACCACATCGGCTGTAGAGTTGGCTATGATAAGGCAGTATGTACAGTAGAAACAATGTTGATTCCATAAAACAGTATTAAAAAAGATTTGGCTACCATAAGGGTTTGTAAAAGGCAGCGACTTGATCGAGATGGTATGGTAGGGAAACTGACTACCGTAAAGGAGTTGGTTGCCATAAGGCTTTAGTGGTATTAAATAATTTGCAATATGAGAATAAGGTTTGATATCTTAATTAGGCAGTTAAGTAGGAGAATACACATATCATAGTTGACAAAAGGTCTGTCGAGAATCACCTACTACATGTATTATGGCCAGTTTTGTGTTACATATAAGAATGACTATACCGGTAATGTATTTGCCTTAAAATTGCATGAAAACAACATAAAATACAAGTCCCACAAATTTATTGACTTCTGACCCCAAAAAATAATCTTACCGGTACTTGTTTTCATCAGAATTTCTTCAACAAAGCATTATCAAGTTTTCAAGATGCTGCTGCAAGAATCAAGCCTGAAAATGAATCCAGATTCTTTTTCATTTGTTCCATTTTCTTTTGTTTTTTATTCAGGAGCATATAATGTGTCTACCTATACCCCTCTACCACATCTTTGCTTGTATTGGAGGGCCACTTGTCGGTATCACCCACGGAGTAACCAACGTCTACCCCACCTCTGGATATGAGCCTGTAGCTACCCTCAAAGCCATCCAGGATGAGAGGTATGGATGGACATGTACAAAATAGTAGTGGCGTAGCTACAGGGGATCACAAGGGCACCCCCCCCCCCCTGGCCCTCAATCAAATGATACCAAAAGAGAAGGAAAAAGGGGGAGGGGTGGGAACATGACGCCACAAACTCCTCTTATGTCCACCCCTCCCCCTAATTATTGACCTTGTTAATTTGCATTTCATCCTCTGAAACCACTTTTCTTGTTTCACTGGAACAGTCTTTTAATCGATACAGGGTTCTCTGTACAAGCATACCTTACCAAATAGCTAGATTATATACAAGTTATAATGATGTTAATTTCAATACCATTTCAATGAAATTCAATTCAATGACTGGGCGACATCAACCTGTCCTGATATTTTTCTCTATGTGTTGCACGTACTAGATGCACATTCGTCTACGGCACACCCACCATGTTCATTGATCTGATGAGCCAGCCGACTTTTAAAGACACAGATATGAGCAGCGTCCATAGTGGTATCATAGGAGGAGCACCAGTCTCTCCGGAAATAATCAGACAAATGACCAAGGGCATGGGCATGAAATATGTTGCTGTAGGTATCATCATCATCATGAACAACATAATCGTTTGTTGTTACTGCTATCATTCCCTAGCTATCAACATTATCATCCTAATGATTATCATTCTTTGTTGTTGCCCTCATTGTCATGATCTTCACCATAATCATCATCATCGTTTGGTGTAACTGTGGTTTTCTTAATCGTTATCATCATCCTCTCCATTATCATCATCATCTTCATCATCATCACTATCAACCTCTCCATCATCATCACCATCATCATCATCATCATCATCATCTTCATCATCATCATCATCTTCATGATCATGCATGATCATCATCATCACATTGTTTGCTGTCACTGGTATTGTCATAATAAAAACTATAACCATCACGATTGTCACTATCATCATCATCATCATCATTCATTGTCATCATCATCATCATCATCATCGTCACCACCTAGAATGATGAAATTCAAAATTTGAAAGGAATAGAAACAACAGTCTCCTGTTAGTGTACTTTCCATTCATTTCTCCTTTGATTTTTTTTCATATTCTAAAGTTATATCACTGATAATTAAGGGTGGACAAAATTCTTAAGTGTCCCAATCTAAGTAATTGAATATACATGTACATGTAGGACTATGGTTAGTGAGGGAAATTGACTATGAAGCAATTGTTGTCAGAGCATGTCTTGTAATATTTAAGCGTTTGCCTAAAAATGCTAATAATGCCTATTAAATATACTCATGTAATTGCTATTAGAAATTTTGTCTTGAGGTGTTCCCTCTACCCCTCCCCCCCCCCCCCCCATGCATATCCTCCAGTTGCTTGTTATCATATTGATAAAAATGTTATTTTTTAAAAATGAGAAAGATCTTATTTGTTTGGATTTTAATCAATAAAAATTTAAATTTGAATTGAATATTGATTGATGTTTACAGGTTGGTTTTGGTATGACGGAAGCTGGACCAATGATTGCTATCGTTGATGAGGAGGACCCACAAGATAAACAATTCAACACTATTGGAAGACTCTGCCAGCATATGGAGGTATGTTCTCACCATGTTTTGCTCCCCCTCCCCCCCCCCCTCTCTCTCTCTTTCTCTCTCTCTATCTCTGTCTCAGCCTGTCAATACCTGTCTCTTTCTCTCTTCTATCTCTCTTCTATCTCTCTCTCTCTCTCAATAAACGTCTCACCTTGTTTCCATGTATACTCTCTTTATCCTCTCACTAATCTGCCTATACCACTAGCTCCCTCTCTCTCTCTCTCTCCCCCCCCCCCCCCCCCTCCCCTCTCTCTTCCTCTTTTCAACAATTAACATGTATTTCACACTCTCTAATCCAGCTTTCTATCCATTTACTTATCATCCCTCTTTAGGGCAAGGTAATAGACCCCGAAACTGGTCAAATTGTCCCTGTCGATGTACCGGTGAGCTGTGTGTCCGTGGTTACGCTAACATGATTGGTTACTGGGAGAACGAAGAGGCAACCAAGGCCAGTATTGACGCTACAAAGTGGTACCATACAGGGTAATTCATTCCCATATTATTTTTTATTATATATTATTCATATTAAGCGGGACTGCACTACTTGTAGCTACTTGCGCCCTCTATAAAGCAAACAATGCCTAAGCGGTCCCAGTTGGTCCCCCATATAATCCCCTTTTTCTTCTGTTGAGGCATGCAGGTCTAATCCCTCCTGGCCAAACTAGTGCAGATAGGCTTTAAGTTTTTTTAGTGATTACAATTTTGAGAATAAAGCTTTGAATGAAGATATATCAACACTCATCTTGCACTCATCAGAGCTTACAATAAAGACCCCCCCCCCCCCTTAAAGAAAACTAAAAATAGAAAACTAAATTGAAAAGATGAACTTACACCCTCATCAATCAAGCTCAGACTGGGTTCTGATAATGATAGAAAAGGTGACAGAAGTCCTAGATGACAAGGAAAATTTAGAAATCCTCCTTATTATCTGCAACTCTTGTAAATAGTATCATGGGGTGTTACATCAGTTGAATTAAACTTGAGCTCTTAAAGTTGATTTTTAAAGATGGGCAGTGGTATTTTATGTACAGGTTTGTATTACACCTTTCAGTGACAAACACTATTCAACGGAAGCAGAAAGTGTGGTCTTTATAGACAAGACAGGTGGTCTCTCTATACAGATGGTTGCAAAATTAAAGCAGGTTTCACTGTACTACAATGACATGGTTTTATATTTATTATCATCATTTATCTTATTTTCCTTTTTTCTCCAGGGACATGGCAACTATGGATGAAGATGGGTACTGCCGCATCATTGGTCGGTTCAAGGAACTCATCATCATGGGAGGCAGGAACATCTACCCTGTGGAGATAGAGAAGTACATCTATACACATCCCAAAGTAGAAGATGTTCATGTGAGTTTATGTTTGTGGGAATGAATAAATACATGTAGAAATTAACTTGTTGACAGTCGACTCAGCATGGGAAGCAGGAACATCTACCCTGTGGAGATAGAGAAGCTATACACATCCCAAAGTTGAAGATGTACATGTGAGTTTATGTTTGTGGGAATGAATAAATACATGTAGAAATTAACTTGTTGACAGTCGACTCAGCATGGGAAGCAACATCTACCCTGTGGAGATAGAGAAGTACATCTATACACATCCCAAAGTAGAAGATGTTCATGTGAGTTTATGTTTGTGGGAATGAATAAATACATGTAGAAATGAACTGGTTGACAGTCAACTCAGCATGGGAGACAGGAACATCTACCCTGTGGAGATAGAGAAGTACATCTATACACATCCCAAAGTAGAAGATGTTCATGTGAGTTTATGTTTGTGGAAATGAATAAGTACATGTAGAAATTAACTTGTAGACAGACGTACATATCCCACCGCTGCATGCCACCATGTTTCAATGTCATTTCCAACTCTCTCAGTCATACTCTGTAGAAGACTAGTATACAAATAATGAATGCTTATGAGTTCAATATTGAACGTATAAAAAACATTAATTATTTGTTTTATACAACATCGAAGTAGATCTAATAGAACGTTAATCTTTCAACAAATTATGCTTTGCTCCCTATATTAAAGATAAATTAAAGTTGGAATCAGGCCTTCTTGATTACATTCAGGTTGAATTCACGTCAGATGCCTGCAGAGAGATATGCAGTCTCCATATAACCAAAAATTGCACGCTCGTTGAATATAGTACTACGGCGAATAGTTCCAAAAATGCACGTCCGTGCAATAGTACATCTATTGAATTTCATGTGACCAACAATCCTCCAATCAAAAGACAAGGATCTACTTAGGTGTTGTATAATACAGAATAATGTAGGTCTACAGTAGGTTAAGGTGCCATGTTGTGAGGAATGTCTTTTAAACATCATCGAGGTCACAGGTCATATCACATGTAATGTTCAGTATATCACATATTGAAACATCATAGGGAGAAAAAAATACAATGAAACCTGTATATAAAGACTGCTCAAGTTAAACAAGAAAGTTGCTCTCTCTCCATCTCCTCTCTCTCTCTCTCCTCCCTCTCCTCCCCTTCTCTACCTCATCTCTCTCTCCCTCTTATCTCTCTCACTCCCTCTCCTCTCTCTCTCTCTCTCTCCCTCCCTCTTTCTCTCTCGGTTTCTTCATAGGTGATTGGTATACCTGATGATAGACTAGGTGAGAAGGTGGTGGCTTGCATCCGAGTAAAGGCAGGAGAGAAACTCACAGAAGAAGACATCAAAGAGTACTGTCAGGGAGAAGTGAGTCTCATTCCAATAGTTTTGTTAAGAGCTACATGTAGAAGGGAGTTAACCCTTATTCACAATAATCTACATTAGCCACTCTCCACCCAGGTGTTATACTGGTACTGGTAGGAAGGAACTCCTTGAATACTGCGAGCACTGAAATCAATAGCCTAACAGAACGGTGGTAATATCGGAGTGTCTTGACTCATAGCGAACAATAGCCAGTTCAGGTATCAACAGATAATTATGATTATTATTATTGCTAGTATTTTGATTATTACCATTTTGATTATTATTATTTCATACTGTGTGGAAATTGATAAACATCTTCTTGTACTCTGTCCAGATTTCTCACTATAAGATCCCAAAACACATCATCTTCATGGAGGCGGAGGCCTTTCCTATGACGGTCAGCGGCAAGGTACAGAAGTTCAAGCTTCAGGAAACCATCAGTGAACAATTGAAATGAGATAATATCAATTTTAACACCAAAGGCCTCAAGATTCCTTTCATTCACTCAACTGCCCAGATACTGCCACAAACATCTCACTATGATAAGCTATAGGATTATTCTATAGCTATTGTAATGATATTTACTTGTTGTTAATCTAGTAAACCCATTAGCTAAGTACCTTGTTGTTCCTCAGGCAAGTGAAATTCTGAATTGTCAAATTGGTCTTAATTACTCTACTTGGGACTTTTGATCTCAATATATACATGTATATTTTACAGATACATGTACAAAATCTCTTCCTTTTTATTGTGTCTTCTATTCACTATCATCTTACATTCTAAACTAACTTCTGCTTTTTGTTGTTGAAAACACATCAAGGAATCTTCCATTTTAAAGACACTGTCAGAAGTGAAAATTTGAATAGGTGAATAATATATCAACAGAAAGCTTATAAGCCATAGATTACAATAATATCAATTATATGTTATTTTATTGTCTGTTAGAGGAGTAACGCCTCTTTGAAAATGGGAAGTTGTCGACATAAAAGAAAGCTAAAAATTTTATATCGATTTGATGACATCATCTCAAGTGTAGTATATAGGCATACCGAGGGAGTCAAAAAAAAGTTAACACCTTGAAAATTGCTAATTATTTTAAGAATCATCAATAAACAGTAAATTAGTATACATTTCATGAAAGAGTGTTTTATCCCAAATCATTTGGTATCTTTTTGTGTATTGTATGTGTTCATGCTTGGATGAACAGGATGTATTGTTTGCGAGAGTGCAAAATCGACTTGCGCCAAAGTGGAGTGAGAGAATGAATTGAATGTACCAAATGAAATGCACTGCATATGCTGTTTGTAGGAGCTAAGGCAAACACACACAAACACACACGCACAAATGTTTGTTGATATTTGATATTCAATATTTGATATGTGTGGCATGGTTTTACTTTTGTTAGGGATGTTATTTGGATCTGCAAAGACTGAATTAATACCCAAATCCCAGTTGTTTTATTCAAACATCACATGAGTAACTTTGGCACAAGTCGATTTTTGCACTCTTGCAAACAAATCCTCCTGTTCATCCAAGCGTGAACACATACCACACAAAGTTATACTAAATGATTCGGGATAAAACACTCTTTCATATGATGTATAATAATTTACCGTTCATAGATAATTTTCAAAATAATTAGCAATTTTCTAGGTGTAATCTTTTTTGACTCACACTGTATTCACAATAACTTTGCATTAAAGCAGGCTCATCACATCAGCTGTGTAGGCAAGCTGATTGGGTCCACATGTTATGTCGTCACCGTAAAATCAGCAAATTTGACCCCTGTTGACCCGTCATACGGAGGGGGGTAGAGAATGATGTTTTAAATTGTGTTTGTGCATCACTGAAAGGGAAATATTTTTGATACTTGCAAGGTGTTATTATTTCATTACTGTTGTGGTTTTTTGTGTATAAATGAATATATCTGTTATCTTAAGTATACTTGAGATCCATATCATTTTCATATGGTTTATGCTGTAGTCAAGATATTTTTTTATAATGACCCCAATAAGGGGCATCTGACAACCCATCAACAACATAAAAGTTATGTCATTAGGATAAATAATAAAACATAATTAAAAATACTTATATTTTCATACCAACAATAGTGAATACAATCCTACATAAAATTTTGATCCTTATCATATTATTGGTTTTGAGTGATTTATTCTTTGTTGTTTGAAGCAATATACACCATATTGTTATGGATATGCTTAGGCTTAAGCTGTTTTGAGAAGAAGAAGAAGAAGAAGAAGAAAGTGGAGGAGGAGGAGGAGGACACCTGGACATTAAACAGTATAAAGTTGCACCTGAAAACACCTGGTGCTTTTTGTTATAACAAAGTCTTTCAAGAAAAATATATACAGATTCAGTTGATCCTGTTTTGCAGAATAATACTAATAATGACATAAATTGATAACGATAATAATGACAACGACAACAACAATAGTGATAATATATGTATATATCCTCTTCAAATTCATACATTCCATAGTACATGGGTTTACATGCTACAAAAATCATTTAGTGACCTGAGAACTCTTTCTTAAAAGTATTTAGACATGAAAAACACATAGTATCATGAAAGATGGAGTAATCTACATTTTTCTTAAAACCACATAACTCTTGAGCATAAACTTGCCTTGTATTTTAAGGCATTTGCAAGTCATTTTCTGACTACCTGTATGTGTATTATGTTAAAGAGAAGGTTGAGTTCTGGGAAGAGGTGAAAAATAATTTGTGAGCGTTATCATTCTTATTATGCAAGTGTGGAAGAACATCAGATAAGACATGTTCCCTGAAAAGCATGGCTCTTCAAATGCCTTCATATTCTAAATATGTCATGTAACATCGTAAAAATCCAGGGTAGGATTTTTATGCCTCGTGTTCATGTAGTCCCATATACAGGGGCGTACGCAGGATTTTTTCAAGGGGGGGGTTTTAAAATATTTTGCTCCCGAAAATTTGAAAATCGCGCCGGCCGAAAAGTCGCTCAGTGGGGGGGTGGGGGGGGGGGGTAAGCGGACACTTTTTTTTTTTTTTTTTTGGAGGCCAAAAAAATCGCAACGACTCAGCCGGCAGAAAAGTCGCTCAGTGGGGGGGGGGGGGGGGGGGGGGGGGGGGGGGGAGCGAACTTTTTTTTTTTTTTTTGGTCTCAAAATTTCAAAATTTGACATTTTTTACGTATGGGGGGGGGTTAGGTCACCTTATTTAGGTTAGCCGTGGGTATAATTAAAAAAAAAAAAAAAAAAAAAAAAAAAAGCCAAAGGGGGGGGGGGGTTTTAGGTTTTTTTAGGGGGGTTTACATACATTAAATACCAAAGGGGGGGGGTTTGAACCCCCAAAACACCCCCCCCTGTGTACGCCCCTGCCCATATACATCTTTCTGTGTACGGTGTTTGTAACCTTACCAAGAATTGGCCAATTTCTTATCATTTTGATGATTCCAGAACCTTGCAATACACACAAATTCTTATATGCTAGATGATCAACCTTTTCTGGTCGATTCCACACCGTTTCTTTCACAATGCAATTGCATGACCAGAACTCAACTTCATCTTTAATATGTTTATTGCACTAGTTGAATACAACTGAATGCACACAACAATACTGCACAATTGAATACAGGTGTAACAGAGTATATGAACTAACAAATTCAAATTTTCCTATATGAGTATAATTTTACCATGGCCACAGGCCACAGTCAGGTTGAAATATTATATGATAGAGTGGAGGTACTTGGTTTGGAGGTAAACATATTTTATATTGACCACAAATATATTTGCGGTATATATTATATAAAAAGGGGAGTTGTATTTTCTACGCTTTGCCTTCTTTCTTATTGAGTCAATCCTTCTCTGTTTTATACAATTACTGTTATAATATAATATATAATAATAATAGATAAAAATAAATATAATATATATATAATAATAATATAGATATAATGATAACATAATAATAATAATGATGATAATAATAATAATAATAATATAATAATATATAATAATGATAACAATAATAATAATAATGATAATAATAATAATATATAACATTTATTTACCCAGGGTAGCAACTTTTGAGTTATGATAATTTTATACAACACTTGTATAGAGAAACATCATTTAAAGAATCATTGTATATTGAAAGTAGTGTACGCCTGTAAAAATGAGTATAGTAATAAACGCCACATAAAAAAAACAGATTTTGAAGATGTCAATTGACTGATGTTTAGTGTTAGTCTAGCAGAACCCATGATGAGCCCTGCTAGTTTTACATTTTTTGTACGATACAACCTTCACTTAAGAAGTGGACCCTGAATTTTCATTGAGCCCTGATTTTTCATTGAGCCTTTGCATTCAAAACAATTATGCCCAAACATCAATATTGCTATACAATGTTTTGTTGTACAATATTCTAGAATAGAAAAAGGTGATTTTAATTACTATATACACAATGCAGCTAACTAGCTATATTTTGTGTATGGCTATCCAATTAGTTTGGGTAGTCTGAAGTACAGTTCTTATTGAAAGTAGTGTACGCCTGTAAAAATGAGTATAGTAATAACGCCACATCAAAAAAACAGATTTTGAAGATGTCAATTGACTGATGTTTAGTGTTAGTCTAGCAGAAACCCATGATGAGCCCTGCTAGTTTTACATTTTTTTGTACGATACAACCTTCACTTACGAAGTGGACCCTGATTTTTCATTGAGCCTTTGCATTCAAAACAATTATGCCCCAAACATCAATATTGCTATACAATGTTTTGTTGTACAATATTCTAGAATAGGAAAAAGGTGATTTTAATTACTAAATACACAATGCAGCTAACTAGCTATATTTGTGTATGGCTATCCAATTAGTTTGGGTAGTCTGAAGTACATTAGGGGTTAGACCCCCCCCCCCCCCCCCCCCCCCCCCCCCCCCCCCCCCCCCCCCCGTTAAGCCACTAAACCACCCCCCAAAATATTTGCTTGCAAATATCCCATCTTATATGACTTATTAGTTCTACATGTAGTTAAAAGTCCTTTTCATGATTCGCAAATGTCTGACATTAGGTTTTAAAAAATATCAAAATGTATCAATAAATGATCCAGTGATCTAAATAGCATTTTAATTACAATACCCACAGTACAAATTTGAAAATATATAAAAAAATTACCAGTATACAAAATATTATGGATAAAAGCTCTATGCAATACATTATAGAATTTGATAGAAAAATATATATTTCTCGAAAACTTACATGATCATTTAAAGAACCTGACGCCCTAGTCTACTCACATGATTATGTACTTCAGTAAATCATATTGAAATTATATAACAAGTTCTACTTCTATACAGTATTTATATTTGTTAACAGCTTAATGAAACTGTATCATACAATTATAAAAATGTACAAAGTCAGATTCAAGTAAAAAATTATAGATAATGTGAAAATATAAAGATCACACTTTACTAACACCAGCTGCAATATCTAGATTTCAGATTATTCATGCACAAAATTTGTTAACACATTATGGCTTTTCCTCACAAAATAATTTCACATTATCAAAAATAAGAATTAGTACCGGTAAGTTAATACTGATAGAAAGGCAATAGTGAGAATGACCTCATATCAACGGCAGTACTTCAATATCCTTGTGGAGATGATTGCTCCTGTTTTGATTAAGTACAGCTATAGCTATGTACAATCTTATCTTTTTGAAATCACAGAGGTAATAAAAACAAATATTGCAAGTCAATGGTAGAGGTAAGTACTCCTAACTGTTTGGTGAACACATAATAAAGTTAACAACTAAATTATTCATACCCCTTGTAAAAAGAAATCTTTCTTTTTTCATAACTCAAAAATGAAAAGTGGACTGGTTGAATTAGTGCCTTTAAAGAATACTTGATGTGAGCTTTCATTATGCCACATGCAAAAAACAAAAATTGGAATGTATCAATTTTTGACATTTCGTTTTCATTTTTTTTTAAATGGTAAGGGTATAATTAATCTAGTTGTTAACCTTATGTGTGTTTTTTCTTATCAATTGAGAAAATAAAAAAAATAAATGCAAGTCAATGGCAGAGTTGATTGATTCTTTTTAACTTATGAGTTACAAACACATCTTTACATTGCCTTCACCATTTGATATCATAAAGTTAATGACAATGAAATTTCAATTCAATGGCAGTACCTCAGGGAGAGATGCTTGCACCTGTTATACTTTAGAGAAAGCGGTACATACAACTCCAGCCGTAGCTACAGTAAAGGCAATGACGAGTAGGATGTAGTTCTTAAGTCCACGGATCTCTCGGAAATAGAACACGCTCCACAGGCCAGCAAGGATAGAAGGACCCTGGCATGGAGATAATTACAGGATAATATTATACAAATAATGAATGGTTATGACTTCAATAGTGCGCATATTTTCATGAGTTGAAAGATTAACATTCTATTCAACGAGGCGTCAGCCGAGTTGAATAGAATTAACGTTAATCTTTCTACAAATGAAAATATTCGCACTATTAAACGAATGAAAAACATTCATTATTTGTTTTATACAACATCGAAGAAGATCTAATAGAACGTTAATCAACAAATTATGCTTTACTCCTTATATTAAAGATAAATTAAAGTTGGAGTGAAGCCTTCTCGATTACATTCAGATTGCCTTCGTATCAGATACACGCAGGGATACGCGCACGGCAGAGAGGTACACAGTCTGCATATAACCAAAAATGCACACTCGTGCAATATACCATCTATTGAATATCATGTGACCAACAATCCTCCAATCAAATGACAAGGATCCACGTAGGTGTTGTATAAAATGTAATAAATATAATACAACGTGATATAATGTGATATAATACAATATAATATGATATAATATAATGTATTGTAAAATAATTTAATATAATATATGATCATATCACATATTTTATCATATAAATAGATACGCTAATACTATTAAAAGCTGGAAAAACAAGTATACATTACACAGCTTATATTTTGAATAGAGTATTAAGTGATTGGTACACTTCAAGAGCTGTTTATGTTTTACTTACCGTTGTGACGATAGGAAACGCCACAGATTCAGAGAGGTTTGTATTGGCAACAAACCACCCTGCCTGAGCAACCGCCCACATAGCACCACACACTAGACTAGGTAGGACAAGGCTCTGAGAGTACTGGGGCTTGTTCTGCTTGTAGGCAGAGTAGATGAGAAAGTAGGCTGTACTAGTAGCGTAGATCCCACAGAAATGGGCAAATACATAGTCTAAACCTGGAAAGGACAAAAAGGACAGTGAAAGACCTTGAAATTAATTAATTTAATTCATAAGAAAATGTTATTATGAACAAATTTGATTAAACCTATCAACAATAATTGTGTTGCTTTATGTGTCGCTTTATGTGGTAATTTGGTGGAGGCATATTCATAACGGTATTTTCCTTGCAGAATTCTAGGATATTGTGATTAATAACCAGAGAATCCACAAAAATTGATATAAGGTAATGCATTAATGCATATTATTTTCATTTTCAGTGCCCCAAAGTGTAGGCCTGAAAATACACAAATCTTGAACTGATATCAGATGAAATATTACATTACTCTGTTCCTTAAGATATCTCATAACAAATTAAGCCAATATGGATGCTTCATGAAAGAACTATCTAGTTTAAGTTCTTAGCCACAGGCCTAGAGGTTAAACATCGGTCGACACTAATGGGCTCCAAGATTCTTTCATTCATAAGGTTCTTTCTTTAATTATTCTTTCATGCGCACCTTTGGTAACCTTTAAGGTTAGTGATAGGGTTATAGTAATCATGCAATCCCACCTTTCATCAACCCATTGTTAGGGTTTGAATCTCAGTATTTATTCAGTTCTATTTTTTGCCTTTATAAATAGTGAGGCAATGCAATAAATAATCAAAGTCTAATTGTCTGTGAGGTAGGCACAGCTAGCTAGAGCTGTAAAAATTGTGACCTTTACTTCAAATTTACTAATGAATGAATCTTGGAGCCCATATAGTGTCGACTTTAAACATCATTATGCCCAAGGAAATGGGTAATACCAATTCTTTTTACCCTCTTGACTGGCTCCTTTGACGTTATCCTGAATCCATAAACATGGAATGAAGTTGAAGCCATATAGAACGCCAGATATTGTCGACAGCACACAGCCTCTGCAAGAAACAAAATAAAATATATATGGTTTTAGAGATTAAAGCAGAATACACATACAGTGTGAGTCAAAAAAAAGTCTACACGTAGCAAATTTCTAATTACTATTATACACTTATGAAAGAGTGCTTTATCCCAAATTATTTGAGATTTGGGTATTAATTCGGTCTTTGCAGATCCAAAAACATCCCTTAAACAAATTAATCATGCCACACATATCAAACATCAAAGAACATTTGTGCGCGTGTGTGCGTGACTTTGCTTCTGCAAAAAGCTCATGCAAATATGCATCTCATTTGATACATTAAATTCATTCTCTCACTTTAATACTTTTGCGCGAGTCGATTTTTTGTACTCTCACAAACAATGCCTCCTGTTCATCCAAGCGTGAACACATAATACACAAAAATGATACTAATCGATTCAGGATATAACACTCTTCCAAAACATGTTATGAAAACCTTCCATTCATACCTGATTTTTAAAATAAATGACAATTATATTAGTGTAAACATTTTTTTAGTCACACAGTACAGTCAAATCTGAGTATCTGACAATAAAGAACAACTGATAAAACTATGAAACTGCCCATTGTATACAAGTGGCATTACAACACAAATTCTACTGCAGTCAATTTCTTTCACAGAACATGTTGTACCCACAACATTGCATACTGTATACTGTTCATTTACAATATGGAAAAAGTTTAAGGTTAACCACAGCATCACATCTGAACAGGAATTTATAATCACACCAACCAATGAAAGATTTGTTTAATTTTTGGTCAATTATAGATATTCAATTGTACCTACACTATTCTCTTCTGCAAAGTAGACAGATTGTCTACCCATGATGCATCTGTGGATGATGGCTGATCGATCGCTTCATGGCTTCCTTCTTGTGATACATTTACCTGAGGGTAAAACGAAGATTGCATTATAGGCAAACTATTATTTGAAACACATGTGCATTGAAATAGGCTAAATACTCATGAAAATGACAAAGATGGATAAAAATGCTTTAAGTTGCAAGTACGGTAGCCAAGTATCATGGTTCAATATTTATGCACATCTTAGAAAAAAACTTATCTTAAACATAGTTTTATGAGGAAAACTACAGTATCCCAAGTTATTGTACTTCAATTATCAGAAGAACAGTTGAATTCATGAGCACCTGCTATACCAGGAAAACCTCAGAAAAGGTCACAGAAGTCAAGAGTATTATTTTTTTTATAAATCCTGTTGGAGACCCAATCTCCCTTTTAGGCTTAAATTACTTTCATGGTCATTTTAGCTAGTTTTTTAATGTACAATTCTTCATTTTTATATAAAGTAATGGCTCTTGTACTTTAAATTTGCCGTTGAGGAACATTTAACCAACACTGATTTTGGCTAAGAGATAAATATAAACCTTGTATGAGAATTAAGGCTTCTGCATATCCACCACACTTTGCTCATGTCCAACAAGAAAGTGAGAGGGATGATGAGGAGTTATATAGGGACACACGATCACCTCGTCACAATTGTAAATAGAAGACAGCTACAGTGGTTTGGGCATATAACTGGATGGAAGAATAGCTTGGCAAACACCATCTTGCAAGAAGGAACTGATGGGAGAAGAAACAGGGGCAGAACACTAGGACATGGACTGACAACATCAAGTAGTTATTTGCCGTTGAGGAACATTTAACCAACACTGATTTTGGCTAAGAGATAAATATAAACCTTGTATGAGAATTAAGGCTTCTGCATATCCACCACACTTTGCTCATGTCCAACAAGAAAGTGAGAGGGATGATGAGGAGTTATATAGGGACACACGATCACCTCGTCACAATTGTAAATAGAAGACAGCTACAGTGGTTTGGGCATATAACTGGATGGAAGAATAGCTTGGCAAACACCATCTTGCAAGAAGGAACTGATGGGAGAAGAAACAGGGGCAGAACACTAGGACATGGACTGACAACATCAAGTAGTTAGCAGGAATGTTGTTTGAGTGGCTATGGAATAGCTAAAGACAGGAAGTTATGGAGAAGCTGTGTCTCAAAGTCCACTTCAATGTCGCTTGGCCAAATGGCCTCGAAGCTATGGGACCTAGCCCTTCTAAAAAAGAACCATGGTAACCATGTTTTTTTTTCTCCAAATTACCACCCACCATGGTAACCATGGTATCGAACAATGATAAACATAGGGTCATCAAACAATGAAAGTCATTGTTCGATACCATGGTTACCATGGTGGATGGTAATTTGGAAAAAAAAAACACATGGTTACCATTGTTCTTTTGTTTAAAGGAGCTAGAAAGATGGATAGTAACTTACTGCATGCTGATCATCATTAAGTAAAGGATTGTTGTCATTAGATGAGCTTGCAGAGGTCGATGAACCCAGTTTCTTTTGTTTTAGACCAACTGGATCTGGCTTGACCCAAACAAATATCACCAATCTGAAACAAACCAGAGGTACAAGCGATCAACTATCAAGATATTTTTTGGAATAAATCTGTCTAAGCTTTGAATCAAAGCACAACTCTCATGTCTCGGTTATTCATTAAAGCAAAACCTACATGTAATTTTCAACAAATCACGTAATGATAAAATGAATGATTGGCAAACTCAGGATTACACGTCTGAATACAGGGTAAACCTATATTAGATTTTGGAGAGAGAGAGAGAGAGAGAGAGAGAGAGAGAGGGGGGGGGGGGGAGAGAGAGAGAGAGGGAGAGAGCGGGAGCATATTTTTACGATGTTGACAGTAATAGTTTCCCTGGCATTTTATCTAAAACAAATTTCTGGATTAATTTACGATCAATGATTGAAAATTTACAGCCTAACACATTCCATGAAAACTAGGTGTCTAACAAATACATTCTATTCATATATATACCATACCTTCTATTCAAGATAATATATGGTCTATAATATTATAACATTTGATGATCCTTTTAGAGATTCCATACAAGATCAAAGTTTAACCTTTTTACCTCATAAACGCCAAAGCAAATCCGATGTAATTCAGAGTCGGTCGTGTTAACACATCTTTGTTTAAGCCGAACCACCCAAAGCTAAATGTAATACACAAAAAATGTAATAGATGACAAATTTTCAAATACAGATATATGCATTTCTACCCTCTATTAATTAATAGAAGTGCATTTATCTGGATTCTTGTAATTAAACTGGTACAGTTCTTCTCAAAGAACACTCATGTTATATGTACATCATATTGTACAATGTTTTGCCCCTCCCCCCCAAAAAAAAAAAAATTCTTAACAACAAGAGAACTTAGTGAGCTAAAAAAAAGTGATGGGAAATTTTGAAATATATTCAGACAGATAAAGAGAACATATAAATGCGATTTCATGTAGGTTCTACATTCATTTACATCAAATGATTTGAATTAAAAAAAGATTTTCTGATGATTTTATTGAAATATTTGATGTCAGTCACATGACCAAGACAGGGCTAGCACTGACTTGGGTACGAGGGCAATCTGTCATTTCAAAGTCACAATGACCTTAAATTTCTAAGAATTATTAAACTTAGAAAAACATGTATTTTAGTATGATTTGAAATTCTCACCAACCCCCCACCCACATTTCCCTTAAAATGCTCCCAAAATATGCATTTTTTTTATAGTTTGAAGTTTAAATTTATTTGTTCCACATAAACATATAACAAAAAATTAAGATCCATACAACCTGTACAGTAATAAAATAACACAAGTAGATAGCTTCAATTAACTTTAATGTACAGCAAAACCCCAAAATTGAGGAGCCTAAATAAAAAGCAAAGCTCGTACAAGATGAGGCTCCTGTGAAGAGTAATATTATGAAGTCTGATTACTGATCATCATATAGGCATAACTTGACAATGAACTTACTGTCCACTGGCCCATCCAGCTATCATATTGACTGATGCCCAGATCAGTAAGCCTGGGCCCAGTCCGATGGTCTTCAAAATTGGCACCACCATTATGTTTCCTGAAATGCAGATATAACATTTGAGGTAAGGTATTGGGTCAAAATCACTTGACATACAAACGCCATATAGGCATATACTGCACTGCTGCACTACATGTTAATGATGGAATGACTTTCCAAAGAGATATGACAGGTTTGGAGTTGTGACAGGTCTCTTGTCGCGGAAGTTGTTGCTCGTCTTGGTAAAGACAGTTTTGTAGAACACTTAATTAGCAGACAAGAAGAGCGAAAGTGTCAAGATGCTGTTGATCTTGTAGTTATGACGGTTTTGATAAACGACTGCCAGTTGCTTAATCCCTGTTTCATAATGGTTCTAACAAAAACAGACAATTCATTACAGTATATTGAAATTCTTTATAAAAAATTATAATACCTTTTTACTAGTACGCTATCAAGAGCTTCAGTCCATTGAGTATAGGGGTTACAAATATATGCTGTTAAAATTAAGACAATTTTTTGAATGATTTATTGTATCTCTTTTCAAAAATGATATTGGAGATCATGCACTAGACAAAAACTCATTGCTTTTACAGCTAGTTGTTACACAGTTCCACATAATATTGCTACTTTTTACTTGATGATTAATGTTACTTTAATATAAACTGTCACTAACCTGTAGCCCAGAGGAATCCACCGAGCATGGAGAGAGGATAGAAGATTGGACTGTAGCGGAATAAATTGATCATGAGACCAACAAACCAAATACCTGAGCACATTATCCACTGGAAGAACACACCTGCAAATTACATGTAAATCAATTCTGTGTAAAAATAAAAAATTTATATTCACAATGAAAATCATATTTGCAGCTTCTGTTATTAAAAGTCATACGTGTACTTCACTACTTGTTAAAGGGATCGTTTAACAATGTTAAATCTGATATACACGGCCCTACGGTGTTATCAGTGTCTGTGATATGGTGTAATATTGAAGCCCTAAAAAATTTGCGCTTCAAAATGATCAAGAAGTGCCTCAAAAAAGTAAAAATCATTGAGTGACCGGTTTTACCATACTCGTTTTCCCCAACAGACTGTAGTGTTATGAAAACCGTCAGGCGAACGGTTTTCAAAATTTATAATTCCAATCATAAATATCTTGATAATCAGACAGGCGATCGGCTTGTAAAAGTCATGGGGTTCCTGACTGATCTATAAAGGTTTATAATTATCATTGCATCATGAGCTAAATCCAGAATTTTGTTTCAGAATCTGAGACAAAGTTACCGGATCCCTTTAATGAGTATAATGTGACTTGGTAAATAATAGATCTAGCTAGGAATTATGTCAATGAGATTTAGATCTTACTATCTTTGAATTACTACTAAAACATTATATTACATTAAGTACGATGGATTAGATGGAAACGATGTTTAAATCGCTGTTTTGATCAAGATATTTTTAGAGTTCTGAGTTAAGCCTTTCGGGGCATATGGAGAAAAACCTGTTCTTTCATATGACAACACATTTGTTGTGCATCGCCTTCAAGCTCAAGAGTGATACAGTTTTGAATCTCGATTTGGTAATAAAAATATTGACCAATTTTGCATGAGCGCGCAATGCACGTAGACTGGATAGGGATGCCTGCAATCTCTATGGGAAGGGTTTTAGCACACAAAATTGCAGGCGTGATCAGACACCCTAATCAAAGAAGATAAAATAATGTAGGCAAAATATCATTCACAAGAAAGGAGAGTCATGCAGGAGGAGAGAAAATTAGGAGATCATCAGAGAACAGAATTTGTGATACTATAGGAGTAGACTCTATTAGCAATCACAAAATATATATGTCATCAAACTCAAAGTAAAGAGTGCATGTGCATTTGGAGATTATTAAAAAGTATAATCAGTCTGAAAAAGTCAGGTTACAAAATTGTGGATTATATTCTCATTCCCCCCTGAACAATAGGTATTATACGTAAGGATTTACGCCCATGATTTCAATACTCCAATAGATCTAGGTCTAACTCTTTGAAATTCCTGATCCACCCACATTTAATGGTGCACCACGTACGCGACCCACCGGCCCGCGGCTGGTAGCTAGCAAAGTCCGATTCTATGAAAGAAACTCGACGAAACTTACCATCTCCCGTCTCTACGTGTTTTACAGGAACAAAGTTGCTTCCAAATCCAACAATCGCTACTGCAGACCCTATGAATCCTGCAGTATTACTGCTTATCCCAGAACCCATCGTTACAGCCGGTAGAATTAAGTCTTATCTCTTCAATAAATGCAATTAGATTTACTAAGTTTTCCGATGTGATGCCTGGTGGTCATTGGTTGAAAGTTTATGACTGCGCGCTGATGTTCAAGAAAATTTTCATTCGGTAGTAATGTCCAGCTGATCACGTCACATGATTAGATCAAATTGAACCTTGCGATTATTTTCTCTCTAAAATACCAATATACGGTATCTGTTATCATTTCCAAAATGACAAAATATGAATCCCAGTGAATATCATAAACTTATATGTACGTGTGTTGTGATTTATATGACCATGAACACCTTTTAAATGGCTAATGTTGGCTAAATTACAGGCAAGAAAAAAGCTGTGAAATGAATTTAGGTCGGTCTGGGAAATTTAGACATTGCAAGCATGATTACGTGCTCCTAGTTATGTAGTTTAGTTTAGTTTAGTTTAGTTTATTTCTTTATTAAAAAATCACACCCGTCATCAGACGGCCGGCCTAAAAAGGCCTATGAGTGATACATCAAAAATAACAGTCATAAACAATTTGACATGATAACATAGTACAAATATAAGTATAACATAATTACAATCACAGGAAAAAAAAGAAGAAAAAAAAAATTATGTATGTTGATTCTGTACAACTTAAAGACACCATAATATACTTGAAACAGATCAGACTATATTGATCTCCTTATTTCACATATTTACTTACGCAATCGAGATGATATTTTGTGAAAATGGCATCAATAAAGCCGTTATATCTTTCCTCAACAATACATCAAGTTCATTCGGTGAGTTTATGAAATGTCTGATTAAAAAGAGTGACTGGATTTTGAGTTCAAGACTTAATATTTTGCTTTTTCCTCGATCGAATTCCTTCTTCGACTTCAGCCGACGCGTTCGGCCGTCGACAACGGCGGCACTGCACCGGTCTCTCAGGCCAGGAGTTCCGGCGGCCGGCGGTCGCTGGGTGGAATGTCTTGGTAACCTTACTCTAGTTTGGATTAAGACATTTAAATTATCAAATCATTTCTCTGTAGTCTGTACGATGCATGGGGGTTGTGTGTCTAGACACTGGCATAAGTTGTCTTGGCAGCAATTCAATTGTCAGATTGTATTTTGTTTTAAATGGCGCTTGTTCAGAAACCTATCCAAAATTTGACCCGTAACTCCGCGCCTGTGTGAAGTTATCTACCGTAATGATGATCTGAGACATTACGGTAGATAACTTCACAGAGGCGCGCCCCCGTCCGCAACCCGCGATCGGTATGTACTTGTATTGTGCAGCGGTTTGCCTTGAAACCTGTGAAAAAGCGTATACTAATATCAATGTTTATCCAAAAAATACTCAAGAAAATACATGTAACAAGAAAATTGACACGAAACAGGTAATAGGGTCTAAACATAACAACTTTTAACTCATGATCTTTATTTGGACATTTAATAAATATTTACTTCATTTTGGGTATGTTTTAGTAGGGTATCTCCACGCCGTAGTTACGGGTCAAATTTTGGATAGGTTGCTGTCTTCTGAACAAGCGCCAAAAAATAATATTCATCAAACACTTCTACAAATATTTTTTTTAACAAAGGACGTCGATTGACATTGTCATTAAAATATTATACAAATAATGCACAGCCCAGCGTTTGTTAGTGGTGAATGCAGTGCATGCAAGGTTTCTTTAGATTGGTGCCGTCTCTGTGCACGAGCCGCTTGCGGCGATTTCTCAGTGCGCACCATCTGAAGAAACCGAGCGTACACTGCATTTAGTAGTTGTTTTATAAAATAGCGGAACATGAAAATCAAAACAAACGAAAGTCTAGATGTAACGTTAGAGTCTAGGAGAGTTATGTTGGTTCTAGAAAATGAAAAGGTAAGACCTCGCTACTTGCTCTACGCGTACGCTGCGCTGGATATCGATCTTTTAGCGTGCAATATCACTTTTTATAGCGCTTTTCAGGCACGATCGTGCATGCACCAAAAATAGTTGCATGTCATGTAACGCATTTTGGCAAATCACGATGCTTAAAATACTCAAACTATTTTATAAAAGAAATTATTGTTATGTATAATCAAAAGAGGTTGAAAGTTAAATGAAGAAAAAAAAATCAAATTACGTGTCGAAATTATCTAAATTTCTGACTGGAAACGCAACAGACATGTCTGGGCTGGCTAAATGTGCTAGAAATCATGTGAATCACAAAATGATTTTATGAATATCATGACTATGGGCCAGTATGGCTATGACTGAGTATATGTATGACCATGACTAATGAGTGTACCAACAAAATTTATAATCCAAATTTCTTTCTTGATAAAATTCATTGAAGTTTTAACAGTTTGATTGTATTCTGATCTTCAGTCCTAACTTTACTCTTGAAGTTGAAGAGTGAACTTCAATATTTATAAAAGATAATTAACTGACATGTAATACTGCATAATAACCCACAATCCAAGGTTAAAATTGTATGTTTGGACTTAACATAATCTTCTACATCCTGTTGTAGGTCAGGTCGGAATGGAAAGAAGAGGAAGAAAAATTGATTTATTAATTATGAATCTGAACCCTAAGGCTAAAGATATAATTTCACAGTCTTGGAAAAAGGGAGAAACTTGGTGAAGAAAAAAGTAAGAGAGATTATATTGTATAAGGCTATAATTTGAAAAGCTTCAATCATAATACTTTTTTTCCACAAATGATATTGTAGAGGACAAGGTAGGCCAATTGCTGCCTCCTCCCCTTGCAGCATTCTAAAAAATATTTATTATTAATCTTAGAAGAACAAACATTAAAAGATTTATACAACTATACATCCAATGTTCCCAAGGAAATGTGCTAATTATTAACATTTAAAACAACAAAGATGCATACCGGTATTTATGTTCTGTGTTTTCCTACCTACTTTCTGCACAGAGGTTGGCAAGTACATTCAGTTTTAAGAGCAGATATTTATGCAGAACATATGGAACCCTCACTCAAGAACAGAAGGAGAAGATAGCCGAGGGACCCAGTCTTGGGGATTTCATTGAAGGTGACTTTGAAGTGGAACAAGAAAGTCATGGATATGAAGGAACTTTAAAGAAAGAAAAGGGTATAAAGAGGTAAATTAGCCCCCAAGCTGATTATGAATAATATCAAGAAATTTTAATAAAACTTTTATATGTGTGAATTGAAATGTTTTGATTGCCAGTGAATATTTGAATTTCATTGATATCTGGAAATGCATGATTATGCAATGTGAAGTAAAATTTTGAATTCAAGAAGTTGATCAATCAATGTATATGTGTACAAAAAATGTATATATTGTAACGCAAACTTCTAAGATAGACCAATAAATTGTGAAGTCATTCAGCCTTGACATGTAGTTCCTACTAAGAGGGATTAAAATCGTCCTCTAATAGCAAAAAGAAAATAAACATGATCAAAAGGACGTAAGGTGTGAGCCATTTCACAATCAAAAGCTGCAAAAGATCTTTTTAAAAAATAGAAGAACTCTAGTTTTTAAACAAAGTCCTGATATTAAAATTGATTAAAGAAATTCTGCTTTTTAACTCTAGTACTAGTACCGAATCTCCTCAAAAAAGCTACAGTGAACAAAACATCTATTTTTTTAAAAATAATTATGTAATTTGTATTTGATTTTATCTCCTAGGTTACGTCTTCCTCCATGGTTGAAAACAGAGATACCCATTGGGAAAAGCTACAGCGGTATAAAAAAGAACCTTAGAAGCCTCAATTTACATACAGTAAGAACGAAATAACACATTCTGCCTCATGGGTTAAACTCTTTTTAAAGCTAATCTTGAGCTCTGGTATGGGAATCGTATGTATAACATGGCTATAATTCATTCTGGATTGTTTATCCTGCAGTAGATTGATTGCTTGAACCATTAAAATAAAAAATATAAAAACCCACAAAAACTTACTGAAAATCATTTTAATAAAAACCACAACTCTCATTCGCACATAATGACCTGTGTTTAATAACCACATGGTGTCAGGCCTATTTGCCTTGATTTCCTTATCTTTATCACTCAGCCCCTCTACAACATGTCACTTATTTGTAATCTTGAACATTCAGTGTAAATTGTGTTGGATTCTGTGAGAATTTATTTTCTATCATTACTAGAACTCAAGCTCATCTTTAACTTTGTATATGTGTTAATGCCCATCTAGCTATAAATACAATTTTTATGCATGTAGGTTTTCATGTACATGTAGTGCCTGTACTCTGTTTATTTCGTTTTGAACAGGATCCTTTTAGTGTTAAGGAATTCAATTGTTTGCAAGCTTTCATAAAGTGTAGCCGTTAGAACGTATCAATCTGTATCATAGTGAATTTCAGTGATATCTGTTGTTATATCTGCATAAATAATGTGAACAAACATATTATGTTTTTAAAATAATAGTTTGATAAAGGCATGATAATCATGATAATCCCCTTTTTAAGCATACATGTGATTATGCTATATTGTTTTAACCAAAACCCATTCTTATTCTATTAAAAGCATTTTTTAACAATATTAAATCTAAGATGCATAGCCCTACATGTTATCAGTGTCTATGATATGGTGAAATATTGAAGCCCTAAAAAAATTGCACTTCATAATGATCATGAAGTGCCTCAAAAAAATAATAATCTTTGAGTGACCTGTTTTACCATACTCATTTTCCCCAATAGACTAGTGTTATAAATATCTTGATAAGCAGACAGGCGATCAGCTTGTAAAAGTCATGGGGTTCCTGACTGACCTAAAGGTTTATAATTATCATTGCAGCATGAGCTAAATCCAGGATTTTGTTTCAGAATCTGAGACAAAGTTACCCAATTCCTTTAACTCTATGGTTGTCTGTGTTAGGTATGCGAGGAAGCCAAGTGTCCTAACATTGGAGAATGCTGGGGAGGAGGAGAGCATGGCACAGCTACAGCTACAATCATGGTGAGAAGGTCCATAGAGATATGGTTCATTTGCTTGACTCTCAATCTGAAGGTTGCAGGTTCAAATCCCTGCCTAATGCATGTAGCCATACAGTTGGCTCTCTTGATTCAGGTTTAATACAAAAAAAATAATAGTGACAGGATTTATTCATTTTAAATGCTCTGGGCACTGATAATAATAATAATAATAGTAGGTTCTTG